CCGCAACACTTGCGCAATCAATTATTTTTGTTCTTTAAAATTTTGCCTACCTTTTCTGGAACAGTGCTGACCAAGCTGATGGCTAATCCCATGCGATCGGCTCGTCCAACTCTGCCAATTCGGTGCACATAATTCGACTTTTCGTCGGGAAGAGTCACGTTGATCATGAAAGGTAGGCCAACAATATCCAGGCCTCTGGCAGCCACATCGGTGCAAATGAGGAACTTGACTTCATTGTTTTTAAAAAGCTCCAAATTGGCCTTCCGTTCGTGCGGCTTGCGGTCACCATGCAGACACACGCACGTATAGGACGGATCGATTTCTTTCAAGTATTGTTCCAGATTGTCGCAGTCCAACTTGGTGCGGCAGAAAATGATCGCCTTGTCCATCTGGTGCTCCATTATCGCCTTTACCACATAATCGCCCTTAAGGATTTTCACTGCTTCACTCAGGGTTTCGGGACTGTTATCGCCAGGCTTCACGTTGTCCTGGTGGTGCACACCGTCAGTTGTGATGTGTTTTCGAATATTTTGCCAGGTTCGATCATTTTGCGGGTCCACTTGAACCACCACATGATGGACAGTTTCGGGAACAGCGTCTTCGCCTTTCAAGTCAATCCAAGTGGGGAAGTGCATTAATTTTTGGGCCATTTTCTTCACCTGCAATGATTTTCCTTACTTTACCGCTGGTTCCGACGTAGAACCCACCGCAAACTTACCTCAAAATCATGCAAAGTGGCACTGCAAACGATCATCTGCAGCCTTTTGCCATCCGCAGTGATTTTGGGCATTTGCTTGTGCAGTCGCTCAATGAAATCAGTGTAACCCTGCTTGAGCAGGCCATCTGCTTCGTCCAGCACGAAAAACCTGCAATTCGCCAACGACATGTATCCGCCTTGAATTAAATCCTCCAATCGGCCAGGGGTTCCAACCACAATATCCACCCCGGAGTTCTGCAAAATCGACATCTGCTCCTTGATATTCGAGCCGCCAATAACCAGCAGGTCCTTAATGCAGGGATTTTCAATGTATTTCTTAAAGAGCTTTATCTGATTGCTGGTTTGCTCGGCCAGTTCGCGGGACGGTTCAATTATGAGGGCTTGCGGCGCGTTATTCGCCACTGAAACAGGGGCAAAACGTCGGTGAAAATTGCCGTCTTACTTCGGAGCTGCTGCTCACGTTTGACGAGTCCATCGCTGCTTCCACTGCCTGTGTTAGTGTTCATCACCACTTTGTCTTTTGGGGCGGACGCTAAAGGTAGGAACTTCTCGGGCAAATTGTGCTTGAAAGGGTGATCGCCAAAGTTAAACGACATTTCTGCATTCTGAAATTCTTCAATATACACACACATATTGTAGACAACTGTGTGCCTACCTTTAAAACAGCGGCCGGAAACACGGGCTCTTTCGTATTGACACCAGAAAAAGCCAGCCCCAAATGAGTGCCGTTCTTCATAAAGCTAATTTCGCCAGCATCCAAATCCACCAGACAAGTGATTACGTCGGACTTTCCAAAAGCTGTGCCATAAGTATCGAATTTGCGGTTGTTTGACTTCTTGCCGGTGCCTCCAAAGCCCCAACCAAATCTAAAGCCATCGGCCCAATGATAGAACGGAAAATGTCGGGTAAAACCCAAAATCCACTCACCTATCAGTTCCCAATTCCAGAGTGGCATTCAAAGTGGCCCAGCCCATCCGGCAAAGGCCCTCATCCGCGATGGTGGCTTCAAAGCCCCATTTTCCGCCTCCACTTATGCCTCTGGTGCACCTGACTCCGTGCCAGTCTTTAACATCGCGGGATTGCACCCGTAAACCGTCGGGGGCGACAGCAAGCGCGTTACCTCGATCGTGAGTGGACAACGTCCAAGCAGGAGCTGGAAATTAACAAACAACTAACTACTAACCAAAAACCGCTTGTAAACGTACAGATGGCAGTTGCAGCTTTGCTGGCTTTTCCCGACTGAATATCCTTTAGAGTTTCCCAAACTATTTGGATAATTGGCAGGCAGAAGGCGGCAGTTTTTCCCGAGCCAGTCTCAGCAGCCATGAGAATGTCGCCACCTCCAAGCATCAGAGGAATACTTTCGGCTTGGATATCTGTGGGCAGACTGAGCAAAGAGTTCACCAAATTACCTCAAAGATCGGTTGTTTAGTACTCACGTCCATTCCAGCTCCTCAATGGCTTTTGCAAGCTCAGGCAGAACACCAAACTCTAGAAAGCGAAAGCGTTTGCATTAATTTTCGTTAAATGCTTTCGAGTAAATCAGTTCATTGCCGAACATGTTTGGAAGACCCAAAAGTTCCACTTTAACTCTATGAAGCTTTGTGAACAATACACTAGCTTCAGATGAACGTGCATTCGCCTTCCGGCTCATTTTGCCATTTTCACATCAAAAGCCTCACTATTTTTTTCAATTTCAATTCAACCAGTTCTGAGACTCACCTTCAAAAGCAGCCATTTGGACACTTTAGTACAATACCTTTCGGTAGAACAGCCTCAAAGAATTTAAGTAGGGCAATCTGAAGGAAATAGAGTAAAAACAGAGGAATATTGCAGGTTTAAACTTGGAGCTTTAAACAAATTTCAACCTGACAGCACCCAACCCAACCTCAAATCAACAATAACCTAACCGCAATGTTAACATTTCCCTTTCGTTTTGTTTTTTTAGTGTTTTATTTCGGTTGTCAAGCCCCAAATTAGTGCACAAAGACATTGAAACACTAAAACTCCACGTTTTAAGGCTCAAGGCACTGTTATTATTATTAAGAGGTAAGAGACACGGTATTTTTGACAGCTCATAACCTTCAAATCTGGTGTGCTTCAAGCTAGTATTTCAAATTGAAAGTTTAAATGCAAGGAAGCCCCAAAACAGATTTTAATATTTAGGGTCTGAGGTAAAAGCGCCTTTGTTTGCCAACTAGCTCAAGGTAGAGTTCAAAAAGTTTTCCTAAAATTAAAGATTTTCATTTAAGTGGTGGCAGAGAATTGTGCTCGGTTTTAGAGCAATGTTTGCCGAAAAGTGAGCGCAATTTAGTTAAACAGCATCAGTTACATGGCTCTCAACTATTTTTTTTGGGTTCCATTCTTTTTCGCAGCTATTTCTGGAGCAGATGCGCTTTTGGAGCTTTTTTGCAAGCATGAAGATACTCGCCACTCGTGCTTGCGAAACGTCCGAAGGAAATGGTTCTTTCCGACGGCCTACAAGCCCTAAAACCGAGTCAGTTCCATGCAATGCATTTCAGAATTTAATAATGTGCTGCTTTAAGGTGGCGAGTAGAGTTGCGTTTGATTAAAAATAAATATAGTCTTGTTATAGTGCTTTTCTGTGGAAATACCGTAATGTTTGCTTTGTCAAGAGCCATATGCAGAACATCTGCGAACAGCTATGGAGCATTCCGAAGTGTCTCCATTACGAAAAATCCCATATTGTCAGGTAGGCGTAAACAACCTTGTATTATTTAGATAGATTGAGGCATTTGGTCAGATTTGGTCCATGTGGGAGAAATCTAAGGGACTCACTAAATTGCTAAATGAAATCGTGAAGACATTTGGTCTTTTTGCAACAATATATGAGGTGTATTTTTCAGGTGACCTTTTCAAGCCTCTAGACAACCATGAAGAGGACAGTTTGCTCAACAGCATCAGAACAGCAAACTCTCCATTGGCAGTGTTTGAAATCGTCCACAAGCACCATAGACGAATGAATGAAAGGCATTCGATTCAGGCCATAAATGCGATATTTCAATTCCAAAGAGATGGAAAGTAAGTAGATACATTGCAATCAACGTCGAAGCTATACACTTTTTATGTCTCATCAACTACCAATAGAAGAATGTATGTCCCCTATGGCTTTTCAGTTCAAGTTTATCGCCTTCCCGACTTGCAAACCATCCAGATTTCGCAAAAATATGCGAAAAAATAAAGAAACACGCCGGTGTGATCGATGTAAACGACGCCATCGATACGTTAAAAGTCGTCTCTTATGTGGGAATTCCAGCCAAGAGTCTGATAGTTCAAGTGATGTTGCAAGTAATCCGAAACAACGTCAATTCGCTGAATATTCCACACATCTTGTTCCTGGATTTTCTGTTGAGAAACTTTGAAACAACGCCGCTTGTCGAGGCTCTGAAGATAGCGTTACCGTTGGTGTTCGAAATCCATGTGCCCACCAAACTAAATACCAGCAACCCAGTTCAGATGGTCGATTGTTTGAATTATGCAGTGAATAATCATTTATCTCAGGAAACTATTACAGTCCTGATAGAAAACCTGGAATCCTATCCGGGTGAATTTGATGGAGAAACTGCCCGAAGGATCATCTGTTACCTTTGCCAGCTGCCTCGAAATTCCATTTATCAGAAACTGCTGGAAAAAGCCAGCACCGATTTGGTTGTGAACATCGATAACGTACCCATAGTGGAGATGGAGTTTTGCCTTAACCGGCTTGCTCATAGATCGACGAATCGATATGGGTTTTACTATCAGGAGGTGCTGTTTGATACATGCGCCAACTACATCATTGATCATAACATTGATTACAAAAGAGCTATCCGGGTTTTAAGGAATATGGCTAGAGTGGTAAGCGGTTTAACTGTGATAAATGCATGGAGCTCTTGGCCAAGAAACCTTCACAGTGTCCCAGTATTGTTACTTATTTCATATTACACTTCACCAGTCTCTTTGGTGTTTTAGCCAAGCGTAAACCGACACTTTTTTAAACGTTTTAGCACCATTGTCACAAATCGTTACTAGATTATGTATCCACACACATATTCAAGAACCCATCAGCGCCAAAAGATCCTGTTGATATATACAGTATTGCAGTAAACCTTGTCCTAACGGATTACAAGCCCGTCCATTGGGAGCATTTGAAAGAGTGGATGAAAAGCGCACCGAAATTAGCGGAAGAAAATCGAAAAGAGATCATCTGGATTCGGTTTGCGGCCGCTCTTTGCCATTTGGACATTTACAGAATCGACGTGTTATCAAGAGCGTTAAATGAAGGCTATGTGTCCCACTTGATAGAGAAAAGTGAGTAGATAAATGCCCATTTGGACCTGTCCACTTTGTTCACTGTGTTATGAGAAAACACCGTTAAATAAATATACTATTTATTAATGCTTAGCAAGTTCACATTAATTATCAGTGCTTATTCTAAAGCTTAAAAATATAAATAACAAAACAATGTGCAATGTCAAAACTGAACCGATTAAACAGGATGGAAAATCGACTTAAAACTCCACAGACCATTAGTTTTACCTTAAAACTTCTGCTTGCCACAGTTGAACGTATCCCAGTTAGGGGGCAGTAGGGTTTACCATCCTGTCCAACTCGATACATTTCCATAATTTACATTATAAATATCTGCATATATATTACAAATCTAATATACATAAAATCTTCTTTGCAAGCGTGTTAGTTAATACTGCAAGTTACTAAAGCAGAACCACCCAACTTCCAACATCGGCCACAAATCGCATTGCGTTAAAATCTGTTTTTTTTTGTAGATTTTTATTCGAACTATGAGCAGTATTTTACGATTTGGCAATGCTTGACCACCTACAAGCCTGATCTGGCGCAACTTTTGCCGGCTAACTTGGACCCCAAAGATTTGATCCGCCAGTACCCAAAGCCAGAACGTTTCGTCTTTGAGGGCGCTTTAGAGAAAGCTTTGGGCGGCAAGCAGTTTGTTTTGACCGATTTGCTTTGGAAATTAGGCGCCCGAATAGGTAAGTGCATTTCAGTGTTATTAGCATTTCCAGTAGAACTAGTTAGGATTTTCAATCGGACTTATTGCATTACCAGCATTCGAATAACAACTGTTGAATTAAATATCACATAATAAATCTCGATTTTTCCGTATAGAATGACTAAGAATTTAGAATCGGTTTTGCACTCTTCTCCTTTGCAACTTATCATCTAAGTTTCGAAGAGAGCAAATCTAGTTTCATTTACAATATCAACGAATTTTAATCAATTGCGAAAATATTTATTTCTAATCTTGTGTAGAATCACTTATTGAAGACGCTTTGAACAGTATCACAATGCTGATTATTCAGCAAGTTGCCTATTCCGATTTTTTCCCTTTGGTTAACGCCCTGTAAAAGATATTTTAAGTTTAACTTGTTTTTTATAAACGACATTAACATTTTCATGCGTTTCAATAGATCATGCGATCATTTTCGAGAACAATTCCCCAGTGCCGTTTCAATCAAGTGTGGAATATGTGGATGATATCAAGGTGGAAGATAACCAGCAATTGTGAGTAAATAAATATTTTATTTAGGATAAGTTCAAGGTTAAACTGTCGGTAACTTTCAGGGTACTAATACAAGGACGTGTTGACCATGATTATACGAAAAACACCAGTAACCTGCGAGGTTTACCAGCCAGAACTGCCGCCATCATGGAAGACACTCTTAAGTGCAGTGTGATTCCTATAAACGTGGATAGTTGGGAGCAGATGAACGACTTTGAAAAAATACCCTACTTGATGCAACAGATCAAAGAAAAACTGCATTTAGATATCGATGTGGCCGAAAGTGCACTGTAATGCAGTAGGTGATGCGATTTTTAAGTCTAAGTTAATTGTTTTAGTGGTTTTCCTTTTGAGATAAAATTTCGAATGAATTCGGCTTGTTGGAATACGCAAATTTCGTTATTTAAGACCCGCTTGGTGCTGGATACTTACTTTATGACTTTAAAGCAGCTAGTCTACTCTGCATTTCTTCAAGTTCTGTTTCATCTTCCTCTTCACCTGCTGGACCTTGGGACTCCTTAATTTTCTCCGCAGGCTCTGAAGGAGGCAGCGGGGCTTCGCCAATTTTGCCCTCGGTGATTTCAAAGAGCACTTTGTCCACTTCGCTTTGCGCCGCTTCTTCCATCTCCTCACTATCCTCCAAGCCCTCGAAAGTCTCATCAAGCATTTCCTCAATAATCCCGGCCTTCATCATTTCCTTGGACATTTCCTGCATCGTTCGCGCCACCTCCGGGGTGCGAATCAGCGACTGCATGGCTTGCATTACCTCAGTAGACTTCTGTAGGGAGCCTGCCACTCGTAGGGTGGCCAGTTGATTTTTCATCTGTAGCATGACAGAGTTCAGGTGGGCCTTTGACGTGTAGATCTTGTTCACGGCCTTTCTTGCCCGGATTATTTCCTTGGCCAGTATCGTGCAGGTGTCTTTATCGCCCTTTTTCGCCGCTTCTTTTAAGGACCTTTTCACCTTTTCCTCTTCCCTCTTAATCGAGTTCACCTGCCTGTCAAGCTGATAGCCCTCTTTCCTCAGCTTGTGGTTCCACTCGGTCACCATTTCCTTCGGGTTTCGATCCGAAGATTTGCCAAAAAGCCCCATAATTGAAATGTTAGGGCTCCGAACAATTTTGCCAAACTTGAACTGTCACAATTTGTCAATAATGGGGTTTGGTTAAGTGTAACACGTCAAACTAGGATGGGGGGTGGCTACAGACCGTCTAGTTAATGATGAGGTTGAAAATTAAAAGCCAAAATTAGTAAAATTAATTTATAAACTTGCTTCAAGAAAGAATTTAACTTTTTCAGGGAAATTCAATTAGGGCCTAATTTTCGGGGTTTTAGCGAGTAAAACTTCATTTCCTGAATTGATAATTTGAGCGCGTTTTGTTAATTGAAAGAAAATGTTGGAGAAATACGCTTCCCTTTTTAACCACTTGCTATCCCACTCGTTTTTGCCCTTAAAGCGTAAAGTTCCGTGCATACTGCAAGTTTTCACTTTAACTGTTTGTGTATTTTTGTGTTGTCAACAACTATTGCAACTGCACTTAGTTAAAATGTCCCCAAACGGAAAAACTAACGGTATTGATTAGCACATATAAACAACCGAGTCCCATTTAGCTAAAATTGTACTTATTAATGACAGGGGCAGATAAACCGGAGCAAAATGAGTCGCCTCAAACTGAATCTCCAGACATGGCCTCAGGCCTAAGTTTGGCAAGTCATGAGGCGCACATTTTGGAAAAATTGCAGTCTTTGGGGCTCGATGATGCCGCCCCAGAAAGCGTCAGCTCGACGGTAAGTAGCAGACCCTAACCTGTGCAACACAGTGCACAACCTGACCTACAGTCCACGGAAAAAAACAACAAAATGTTATCCGCTGTAAACACGCGCTGGTTGAAAATTACATTGGGGCCTAAACTGGTCCCGGTTTTACTGGGTGGTTTTCGATTTTTTCAGATCTTGAATGACACCAGTCTGGATGGAGTTGTAGCATACATCAACAATAAAGGCTGTAAGAATGTTGTTACCATGGCTGGTGCAGGAATATCTACTTGTAAGTAACGATATTTTCCTTTCTATTGGATGTGTGTTGTTCTGCCAAGTGAATTTGTATTCATTTTGTTTTTTAAACACCAACAAACTTAGTAGCTTTAAGAACAGCAGCTGTCTATAAATGCCCTCTTCCTGGTATGTTATTCAGTGGAATGTGTTTTCATGTACATATTTATTTTTAAACGATTAAGTACAGGTCATGATACAAAAAGCATTTTCTTAGACAGACAAAAGTTAACAGCTTCAATCAATATACAACAAAAACTATTTCATATCTTCTGTGTTCTGATGAAATGCGCTATTCTTCTGATTTTAGCCGCGGGAATCCCAGATTTTCGTTCAGCCGGAACCGGCTTGTACCATAACTTGCAAAAGTACGATTTGCCCTGTCCTGAAGCCATCTTTCACCTGTCGTTCTTCCGCAAAAACCCGAAGCCATTCTTCGTGCTGGCTAAGGAACTCTTTCCTGGAGCATTCAAGCCTACGGCGTGCCATTATTTCATTCGATTACTACACGAAAATGGTCTGTTGTTGAGACACTATACGCAAAATATCGACGCCCTGGAACGCGTCGCCGGTATTCCAGACGAAAAACTTGTTGAAGCACACGGCACGTGCTACACTGGCCATTGTCTGGAATGCAGGAAGAAATATGGTTTAAAATGGATGAAAGGTAGGAAAGGTTTTTTGCCATAGCATCGCATTCTCTCCATACCAGCCAACTTTTCAGAACGGATATTCAAAGATGAAATACCAATTTGTGAAAAATGCCCCGGCATCGTAAAACCAGATATAGTGTTTTTTGGGGAAAATCTACCTGCAAAGTTCTACAATTCAATCGACGTAGATTTCGAAAAATGTGACCTGCTGATTATCTTGGGCTCTTCATTGGAAGTTAATCCATTTGCTAGCTTGATTGACATGTAAGTTGCACTGTGGTTGTCCTGAAGGAAAAATTACTTTTTTCTGTGTTTCAGGCCTTCTTCCTTGACGCCTAGATTGTTGATCAATAGGGAAAAAGCTGGCCATCGAACTGGTGCTATGGCATTGTCGGATATTCCTGGCGGTCTGGAATTTGATCGTAAAGGAAATACGCGAGATGTGGCTTGGTTGGGCGATTGTAACGACGGCTGCCAATTACTAGCTGATAGACTTGGATGGGGCGTAAGTGTTTAGTAGTAATTGGGGCATTTTCGCTAAATAATACTTTTTGTCCTCACTGGATTTGAGCTGATATTTATTAAGTCTAACAGTTACATTAATTCAAAGCTAACTCTCCTGCAATGCACTAAAGATAAAGCTATTTTTAGGAAGAATTGAAAGAAATGGTGAGGAAAGAACACGAAAAACTCGATAAGTCTAAAACACAAGAAACAGCGCCGATTGCTCCTTCATCCGATGAGGCACTTGATTGCCAATAATTAATGCAACATTTGGCATATGTGATAAGAAGTTAAGTTTATTTATGTTGTTTATATTGTTTACATATTTATATAAGTATATGGGAGTTTGATGTTTAAAATCCAGTTCCCAAACCAAAGGCGTGCTTGCAAAAACGGTGCTGATAGATATTTTTAACGTAAATTAAGGCAGATCCAGTGTCGTAAATTAATATTAATTTCCTTCCCTTGCTGGTGGCAGCTCCTCATATAATTTCGTTTTGTTTTTTTCTTTTTTGATTTTTTCGGGGCGTTAAAAACATCGGTCGCAAATCTCGCCGGATTATTTCAGCAAGACCTCGCTTACCTAAATGACTATTAGCATTTGATAAAAAGATTATGGCTGTTATAAGTGGGTGCGACTTTAATCAAACATTGCCTCGATGATTCCCAACTGTTAACGAGTGCCTCAAAAATAAATCGTTCGCAATATATCGACAATGTTTAAATCGAATTTTTCTTTCCCCTCTCAGCAGTCTTTCGTTGTCTTGGCTTGATCTCAACATGTGTGAGTGCACCCGATAAACGGACAGATTTCCACACAACATCATATTTTTCTAGTGACGAATTACCCATTGTTTGTATTGGTTTATGTATTGTCGCAGATGAGTTTGTCTAAAAACTATAACATTTCTCGATAAGGTGCGATAATTCGGTTACTTGTTAATGACCTGAAGAATTACTAATAATTTATATGTAAATAATCGCTTCAGTGATAGTGAGAGGTTTCGGTGGATTCCGAATCTTAGGTAAGTTTGCGATGTTCGTTTAATTAGGTAATTAAATGTTCCGATTGGGTTTTTGATTCGCACCGCTCGAAAACCATCCAATAGACGAAACGTTTCCAAATTGAGAAAAACACGCTGTATCTTCCATTTATGGCTTTTATTCTGCAAAAGTTTCCTGTTAATTTTTGGATGCTCTTCTGGTTCGCTTTTAAAACATTGATGCTGTCGAATTCAAGTTCCATCAAGAAATAAATAAATTGTTTATGCGTGCTGGTCGAGGTGTTTATCTTGAGCATGCCTGTGAACGGTCGAAAAAAATAGTTTTTGTCCAAACATGTTTTGATGTGGACGCAGTAACGTTCAGGTGTCTCAATAAGGCAAAACCGGGCATTTTGTTCGATTTATATTCCCGTAGTGGACACGTTTCGTTATGGATGAGATTCGAATGCTGGTGAAAGATGTGTTGCACAAGATTCAGGATATACCCGATATTCCTTGTGAGTATTTCATATTGCGTCTCAGATAATCATCTGCGATTGATGTAGAGTTTGGAATTTTTTTATTTTATGTGTTTATCGCTTTCCTGTTCCAGTTAACGCTGTTAAAATGTCTGAAGTAGCCTCGGAAAACTGGCTTTCTGCGCCAACATCCACATCGGATTCTCTGGATAGTGTTGCGACACCAAACAGCCATTCAGATGGAGACACGCCTGGTAGATTCACCCTTTTAAGCCTTTAGCTCAGAACGCTTTATTTGACGGGTTTTTCAGTAGAAGGGACCCAGAAACTGTCCCCAAAGTTGACGATGAGGAAATCGGCCAGCATTTCCAACCATTTGGGATCGCTGCATGTTTCAAGCAAACAGTCCTTCGAGTCGGTGATCAGCGACTCCAATTCGGCCCCAGTTCTGTCCAGAGAGGACAAACCTCTTCCAGCCAGGATCATAATGGGAAAACGAGACCTGCTGAGGTCGAGAAGCACGGAATTGAAGAGTGAAGAGGCCGTCGTTGTGCACGAGCTGGTAAATGTAATGCATGCTTTTGGATTTCTACTATTCTACTAGTTTTAATGCGTTTCACTTAGGCTTTAAGTACTCTAAGCTCTTCTACCGCTGGGAACCTGGAAGGTTTAAATGCATCTTCTGGGGGCTTTTGCAACATGCTAACACTGCACACATCGTTGCAAAGAGGAATATTTTTCAGGTACACGATAAATACCGCGACAAAGTCCAGCACTACATTGGACGCATGTACCATCGCAGGATGTCCAAAGAATCCCGCAGTACCGACGACGACGGTACCAGTTCAAACTATTCGGCAGGCAGCGCCAAAGAGCCGGAAGGTGTAAGCGATGGAAGCAACTCTTTTCCGCCGGAAAGTGACGATTTGAACCTGATAAATTCCGCGGAAAACCTGCCTAAGGAAACCAGCAACAACTCGACGTTAAGCTGCATTGAAAGCAACGAGAAGGAGTTTGATTCCAAGGTGTTTCTTCAGGAGGCTCTGGGCGATATGTTTAGTGACTCGCAGTATACGGTACAGTGTAGAAGTCCCAACAAATTACTTAATAATAAAATAAAAATGCGCTTTTCTCTCAGGTCTCCACAATGAAAAGCTCCAAGCTACAGCACTCTATTAGTGTGGATCCGGTCAGCGGTGGAGGGTCGCTCATTTCCAGGGCAGGAACCGTCTATAACTCAATGAGGAGGAGTTTGAGGCGCGCGTGTTCGTTCAGAGAAGCAACTGCTGAGGACAATGCCACCATTAGGAGCCAGTAAGTGAAGCCTCAAAGCGCGACAACGGGTGAAAAAAAACTGTTTCCAGAAATAGAGTCCGATGCCAGTCGTATTCACCTCAACACTTCACTTCCGTGGAAAATTTAATGCGGGACTTGTACGTGCAAAACGGCATCATTTTCCAGGTATCAAAGGCGCTGACTTTTTGCAGAAAATCCAAAGACGTTACCAGTACGGAGTACATAGAGGCGGAAAAGATCCTCTTAGTTGCTTGTAAGTATTTTAAAGTTAGGCCGCAGATTGCAGTAAATTTAAAGTCCTGAGCGAGCAGACACATGTTTAAAATCGCGCACTTTTTACGCGATTTTGCGTTATTCGGTTATTTTCCTAAACCGAAATAAGCCCGAGTGTCTTTTTAAATGTTTTAGCTTGCCAAAAAGAAGCAACTCAAGCCGCTTTGGACCTGCTACAGTTCGGCGACAAGCCGAACGAAAACTACCCGCATTCAGGCACCCTGCAAATATCCGACTTGGCTTTCCAGCTGCGAAAGGACCATGCTAGCGAAGAAGAACCGGCGAAAAAATTCGAAGAATATTTCGTCGTTCTCCTCACTAGTGGAAAGACGGTTTTAGCCAGCCAAGTTCTGCTGGCTGATCACACTGGTGTGATTAAATCCGAAAAACACTTCGAATTCACCGGGTTGCATACGGACTTTGAAGTAAACGTTTCCATTTACTCCATGCAGGTGAAATGCGGCCATTCGACCGATGGAAAACACCCGAAAAAGGTAAATGATGCCGCTGCCTTTTCTAGGCCTGGGTAACACTGTGTTGAGTTGCGCTATTGAGTCATCGCTATCATCGGTTAATGAGTCATTTATTAAAGCTTTACGAGACCCGAGGCTGAAATTTTCACATCATTAAAAAAAGGTTATCAATATTTGTTCTGAGCAACCTTTTACTACTTTGTTCAAGCAACTAAAAAAGTCATCTAGATTTTCCCAGCAACAGAATTTAGTCCGAAGCAAATCGACGAGTTTTCTTTTCTTGTAAAATCAATCTCTTATTTTTTGCATAAATGATTCAGTTTGCCAGTATTTTACAGTAAAACGCAGTTTTTCTGTTTGAGGCAGTGTTGTTTAAAAATATTGACTTGAAAGTGAAGAAACCCCAGTTTCCAAGAGTTTTCCAAATAAATTATTATCAACTTTCGCTTTTTCAGTTCGGGGAAATATTTTTGGAAAAAAGACCCAGAATTAATTATTAGGAGAAAGAATTGCTTAATATAAACTTTAACTTAAACGTTAAAACTACGATGACCTGAAAATTTGAAGGAAATTTAAAAATCTTCAGAGCGATTAGGGCTGCGAATTTGCCAAATAATTCTCTGTAAACTTTTGCTTTGATCGTTTTTCCAGATAATCTTACTTTCAGTAAAAAACTGAATAACATTATTCGGTTTTTGTGCCAAATTCGAGGCTGAAAAGACCCCATTATAGTTAGAAAAGTAGGAAATTATCAGAAAATAATGTTTTTTTTTGCGTTTTGGATGAAAAACTTTCAGTTTTGTGATCGATTTTGGCGAAAACCTTGATGATTTTCGAGGAAAAACGGGAGGAACTACTTTTCGTTTTTGTCTCGAATTCAATGCTGAAAAGTTTATGTACAATTTTTACAAAGCTATAAATTTATCTTGTATTTTTTCGCGTCAAAGACCTCCAGATCGTCAGTATTTTTAAGTGACACTCTACACAATAGAGCGTTTTTAAGTAGAAAGCAAAGCAAAACAAATAAAACACATTTTTTAACAAACTCTACAGTCTTCAGATGAATGGAGGTGACGAGATTTCCAAATAATCTGTTATAAACTTTCGCTTATTCTGTTCGTTTTTTGATAGAAAATTGTTCGATTTTTGTTCCAAATTCGACGCTGGAAAGGGATTTCAAAACTTTTAACAAAGCGACCAAGAATTCGAAATTTATTTCATATTTTTTTCACGGAAAATACCTTAAGTCAGCATTTTTAAGTGAAACTATAAAATTGAGCATGGAGAAAAAAGAGTAACTTGGCAAAAACTGGAAAAGTCTGAAGCAATTTTAAAAATATTATCAATAAACGGCCCTTGAATAAATCTAAAAACAAGCAAAAAAGCCATCAACATTCTCCCAGCAACGAAACTGACTACTGCGCCGGTGCGTTGGGTTGGCGCACCAAGCCATTTGCGTGTCACTGCGCCAACTCTTCAAAATCCACTGAGTTACCCAGGATTAGCCTTTCCACATATAATCAGGGTGCACTTTTGTATGTAGGAGCGCAGTTTGTTGAGTCCCTACGCAAAAATCCTGTTCCACTTGAACAGCCACAAATCGTCACGCCGCAATCTGCAAGTTGATAACGTTTCGAGCATCAAACCATCCTCATTCACCTTGTGGGGATCATGCGTGATGTGTTGCGCGGATATACAGAAAACGCACTTTCGATTACATCACGTCTCCCTGCAATCCTCCTTGGATGGACAGTTCACCGCTGCTCTGAAGGGGGATGTTAAACTGAGCAATAGAATGGGAGGTTTTTTGACTATTGGATTCGGTAGGAGTGGCCATTCACACATCTCTTCATGACTTAATCGTCTTGGCTTTTCCAGAAGATAAAACTCCATTGGTTTGGAATAGACGATGGTGCGTCCTGAGCGGACATTTATTGAAATACTGGAATTATCCGTCGGAGGAGTTCAACTCCCATCCAGTGGGCGTGATTGACTTGAGCCGTGCGGCCGCACAAGCGACTTCAGCAGTTAGGAGTGTCTGTCCAAGGCCGAAATCGCTGCTTTTACAGATACAAAGCAGGGAGCAGTCGGTGTTGGCTTATTTCCTAACTGCCGACACTCTGGAGGACAAGGAACGATGGAAAACGGACATCAACTTTGTGATCGAAACGTTGGAGTGCTGGAACTGTCTGCGTGGCAATGAACTGGTCAGTTCGTTGTAGGGAGTCCGTAGCTACTAGTATATTCGCATAACTATTATGGTACCTGTTTTTAAAGTATGACGATTTTTTGGCTTTTATATATGACGTCTGAATAGTAAGGCCCAAGTTGACCCCCAATTAGGGCAAAGTTAGTATGGATTATATTATTTTGAGAAAATATTGTTCTTTTGTAAGTAAATAACGGCTGTTAATAATGAAAGGTTGTAATAAACCAATAAAACCTACTTCATTTGGAGATTGTCGTATTTGGACCAATCCTCAGTTAAGATCTGCCCTTTTCACTGTTTCTGCGCGAAGTCAATTAGATTTTGTGAAACTAGTGGCTTTTATACGTCTCCGAATGGTTGAACTCCACTTCAAATAATAAACAATCCCATAAGGATTGTCGTTTAATAAAATGCAATTAAAATAACGAATCAATAAGTAATTGTGCTACCTACGAAGTGTTAGCTCCAGGTGAACGTTTTCGTCTCCCCGGAGTATTTCAGGCATTCGATATTGCTGACTCGTTGAGCATCAGCTGAGCAAAAACCGGTCAACACTGTCGGATGAAGGCCACAATCAGACAAGTTCTCTTTGCCGAAAATCGCAGTCCCTTTTTCCTCTTCCGGGGGCTTCTTCTTGGCCACTTTACTAAACCCTCGAGTACTTTCCAAATCATTGAACGTCATTGTAATGCTGTGATTTGCCGGGTTGATATTGAGAATATTGTGAACGGTTGTCGGCAAAATTGGTCCGGTTAGTTCGATGGAATAATAGTCGCTTCCGGCTGAATGCATTTTGCTTTCGCGCACTTTCAGCGCATTCAGAGTGGCTCCGTAGAAGGCGACTGGAGCCAGTAAGGTGGGCGGAATTCCAGCAAACAATCCAGTCACAGCAATTGTGCTTTTGCAGTTGAGCAAAAAGTTGAAAAACGAATTGACTTCGACGCCTTCAATCAGGATCAGGCTTTGGTGCGAACTGTCCACCTGGCATTCGCTTTTGTGCTTTATACGGTCCTGAAAATGATAAATACATTCAATCTCTTCATTCGCATCTTCAAGCCACTATTAAAGTACTTACCTGAGTATAATTGATGTTCTTTATATCGTCAGCATTGATGCCCAGATTTTCCAGCCAGTCCTCGTCATCTTCGTCATGATGCTGCTAAGCAAAATAAACGTTAATATAAAGCCCAGTTGTGCCCCATCCGTTTTTTTGCTCACCAGCTCGTTAGCCTGAACATCAGTTGCCTCCTTCAAGTCCTGCTTCTCTGCTTCCTTGGTAGGCTGCAGACTCATTTCAAATTCAATGTCCTGCTCCTTCAGTAAGTTACGAAAGCCCCTTGTTGTAGGCGTGACCATAGCATGCAGGTCTGCATACCCGCATAAGCCGGCAGCTCGAAAAAGAGCCGTAAAACTGTTGGCACACACATAAAAATACGGGCACTGGCGCGTTCTTATCAGCTGGTAAAGCGACTTAAAACTGTCCGTCCAGGACTCATAAAGGCTGGTCTTTACGACGGAACTTGCCCCCAAATTGACGCCATTCGTGTTGCTTTTGAGGCTGTTCCTTGGAAAGAGGGACAGCCAGGGAAGGACGGGTTGTTGCCATAATAGGCAGCACTGATGGAATTTGGCGTTAGGAGATGTGTCCAGTGAGGTGTTGCACTTATCAATGTCCAAACAGCGCGCAAAACTCGTCAGCCCCGATGACTCTTCGCTGATCTTGAGATTTTGCGTCCAGGGAAAGGGCTGGGAGGATATGAGCCGGATTTTTTGCCTCAAAGTCCAGTCTATCGGGCAGCACGGGGACTCAGCAGCCCGGGCCTTCTTTGGCGCTTCATTCAGGGACAAAACATTCTGGAATGTAGCCAGTGGCTGTTTCGCGTCAACAGTCGCTGAAGACTGATTGAGAATTTTATACAAAGTCTCATCCTGACTCTCACTGATTAAGCTCTCACTCGGCTTGGGTTTCTTCGCCTGGCTATCGTCCTTGGCAAAGGGATTTCGGCGCTTTTTACCGTTGAAAATTGTCTCGAACGGCGACGCCTTTACAGCCTGGGTTTCTTTCGCATCTTTCAAACTTGCAACGGAATATATTCGCTGTTGTAAGGCCCTTTTCTTCACCTTCAACTTCTGGAGCTTGAGCAACTGCTTGGGATGTTGCCATTGCTCAGTGGACTCAGTTTTATTCGGCATTGTGTTTGTACTAATTAATTGTTTTGATGTTCTCTAACCTAAAACAGTGCAGGTGACGATACTACGATAATAAACAAACACAGTTGTCAGTTTGTATATTACCTTTTTTCCCTTTTGATAACTCTAATGAGGACCACATGCATGGTGTCAAGACCATTTCTGTGTAAAATAAGCCTTTTAAATTTTCTGTGGTGGGGTTGATTTTTCTCAGCACGTTTTGTAATAAATAGAGCATTTAAAATATGATAGTGCCTCGGGCTTGACGTCACTACTGACTCACTCGGGTGTACTTAACCTCGCTCCCCACTTTTTGTTGACAGTTAGTTTGGCGTTTGGCCGATGTAAACAAAATTTAAAAAGAAAACATGGGCCTCCTAACAGACCCAAGCAGCGGTCACGGCAAGTTAACGAAGATCCTGTTAAGATTCTACGTGCCGTTGTGTGTGCTGCTTTATATTGCGGGAGTGTTGTGGTTTGCCGCCCTGGCTTCGCCCCTCGTCAATGCTAGTACCTACTTCTCAGAAAACGCCCTTCTCCCTGGGCTAGTAAAGTCGACGTTTAGGGAGGATAAGGCCGCGTTGCAGTACTTTCAAGAGCTGGAGGACGAAGCCGGGAAGTACGGCGATTCAATCCCCTATCCGTGGCTGCTGGCCAAGTTCAGGCAAATCGGGCTGGACTCGTACACGCACAACTTCACCCTACACTCGCCTTTGAACCCCAACGAGACGTTCCAAGGGAAGAATGTGTATGGGATCCTCAGGGCGCCGAGGGCATCAAGCACTGAGGCTCTGGTACTAACTGCCCCGTACAGGCCGCCTTCTAGCGTCCACTCAACCACCCTGCCCTCCATCGCTATTCAGCTTGCCTTTGCCAAGTTTGCGGTGAGAGAAAAGTATTGGGCCAAAGACATCATATTCCTAATCACCGACCACGAGCAGTTGGGGATTCAAGCCTGGCTGGAGGCCTATCACGGGGTGAGCTGTGGAAGTGAAAACACGCTAGACCATGGGCAGTTGAGAGGCCGAGCGGGCGCAATACAAGCGGCGATTAATCTGGAACTGCACAGCGTGCGAATAGGGCATGTGGACCTAAAGATCGAGGGCCTAAACGGCCAGTTGCCCAACTTGGACTTGTTCAATTTAGCAGCGCGGATTTGCGCCAAAGAGGGCATTTTCTATACCTTCAAGGAACGCACGGCCACATTCAGCAAGAGCCCCTACAAGGAGTGGTGGCATTACTTCAAGAACATGATGAGCATGGTGGCCACACAAGCCACTGGCATTCCTAACGGCAACCATGGGCTTTTCCTGCGCTTTGGCATCCAAGCGCTCACGGTGGAAGGATTTCAAGAAACCAAAGGTGGCTCCAGAGTGGGCCTGCTGAGCATGGGGCGCGTGATTGAAGGAGTGTTCAGGAGCATGAACAATCTCCTTGAGCGGTTCCATCAAAGTTTCTTCTTCTACATATTGCCCTCTTCCGATCGGTACATTTCGATTGGCTTGTACATGCCGGCAGTGTGCATGTTGGGGGCTGCCCTGATAATCCGGGCCTGCGCCAAGTGGTGCCAGATTCAAGAGAACCAGCAGGCCTGGAAGGGCCGCTACCATAAAACCAGTTACAGAGAGGCGATTGTTTTGTTCCTGATCTTGCACTGTATTGGGGCGCTTTTTATTACACTGCCCCAAAGCGTCAAATTCCTTTCTAAGTTCTGGGCGCTTGAAATTACCAACACCATTCTTATAGCCTTGATTGGTAACTCGCTGGCCTTTCTATCCGTACCGTATATGTTTGGGGAACTGCGAAACTGCCCCCAGAGCCTTAATTTATTGTGCATCTTTTCCCTGCTCGAGCTGGGAACCACCATAATTTGCCTGTCGATGAACAATATTTCCTTGGGAATCATTTGCGGCGCCATCATTGTCCCCTTTGCCCTGATAATCGACGTGACTTCGAGCAAAGGCTACGGCCTGTTGCAGAAAACTTTGTGGCTTCTGGTTCATCCATTGGTTGTTCTGCTCGGGATGGTTTTCATCATCACCTGTACAATGTTCAGTCAGGACAGGGCCAAAGATATAGTTTTTAGAACGATCTTTGCCTATCGGGATGCGGTCCTTTTCAGCATCGTCGATTCAATGATCTACGGCAATTGGTTGTACAGTGTTATTGGTGCGATTTTCATTCCAAATTGGTTGTGTTTTTGGGTTGTTGCCTTCGGTAACAGTGCTGATATCAGTTCGCCCTCCAAAAGCAAAAAAACTGATTAATTTTAGCAGTTTTATGTATATAGAGTATCTAGATGTTTTTTACCAATCAAGGTGCTCGTGTAATGTTGTAGTTTTGAGGCGTTTTACTGTGTAAGTTAATGTATGAGGTTTAGCTGGAAATAAATCGGTAGTTATTCAACGCTTAATTGTGTGTTTTTATATTCCGTTACAAAAAAACATCGATTTTCACATACAGAGAGAAAACGCAACTTTTTAACTGAACGTTACTGGAAAAGTAAAGAATGATAAAATTCTGCACTATTCTACAACTTTACTCGTACATCTGAGCTAAGGCGAGCAAGAAAACGGCAATTAATTAGCAATAAAATAAAAGTTTATTATGGAAAATAGGATCTATATAATTTCTTAAATACACATTAATTAAATATAAAATAAATTAACTACTATTGCTACATATTGGCACAATTAATATTGTCGAAAGTTGAACGATTGCTGAAAAACTATAGTGCGTCTGCTAGCAGACAGGTTTTTCGTTTATATTACAGTGAAAATCCACCAAAAAGTAACAAAACCAGCTATAAAGCTGCAAAAGGACTGCGAAAATGTTTACTGAATTTATTTTGTTTAGCGGGAACAAGCAAATATATGAAGCCATTAATCTACAATGTATAAATATCACGAAATCTAAGAATAACGGTTTAAACTAGGGGCAAATTTGATAAATTCAAAGGCAAGACCAACGATGGGTATACAAGGGGCAGAGTCACTCATCGATAAAAAAATAATTATTAAAAACGAATTGCTTTATGATTCACTTCCCTCTCCACGACTGGTTTTTCAACTGGCGCTACTGCTGTATTTATACTATGCCTGCCTGTGGAACAGCGGTGGGGAAAGAGTGGGGCGGATGGTTTAAACACGTGATACAATGAATGCAAGGTAGGATATTAATCGGTCAAAAACTCGTGCGCAGATGACGTCGCTGGTTACCACTTTGGTAAAGTGAACAGCTGATCCCATTTAAAATGCATGTAACCTAGAGAGATTTTCACTGCATTCAAAACGCAATAGTTCAAAGATGGAAAGTTATATGAAGATATGGTTTGCAGCATTGTAGAGCTCTGTGCTTTGAAAATCGCGTTTGGGACCTGGTTTGGGTTTATTGGGAAGAAAAATACCCTAAATAATTTGTTACAAAATCTCTGATTTTCAGCGTTTTAGCGTGCTGTGTTGCCAGAGTGTCATTTGAGAAATCGGGTTGAGCCAAATGAAATAATGAATTAATTGTATCGCAATGCACTGTTCATACAATGAATTGATTGTATCATAAATGAATTCATTGTCGTACAATGAATTCATTGCATCATGGGGTCAATGCGTTTGAGCATGTTTGGGAATTTTGTAGACAAAACTGAGCATTTTGCCCTTGGTAGTTGGAAAGTGTACTCTAGATTGTTTGCTACTTTTAAGTGTCGGTTCAAAAATATAAAAAATGCGGTGTGCAGTCGTTTCATTTGAATTAAAATTTGCATATCATCCGCGGCACCACAAAACGCAGATTCCGTCGTAAATAATAGGAAAGGAACATTGAATCATTGTTTGGACTTCCGTCTCTTGAATCGTAATGTACTATTTCTGCAAGGATACATTTTCAGCTAACGCTATACTTTATTGCATAACTGGCAACTGTGCTAGTCTACAAAATAAATCAAAATCAAAAAAAGTAGAGACAATAAATGACTGAAACCCAGGAATTAATTTTGATATGGAATTGAAACACAGTCAGGAAAGAATCTACAAAATAATAGTAGTTTTCGATACAAGGGCGAAAAATGTAGTTTTTCGAACGACGACGGCGTTTGACACCCGAGATGAAGTCGAGGGTGTCAATCCGTCAGGAGTTCGAAAAACAAATTTTCGCCCTCGTATCGAACACTATCTTTTATTCGAATGAAAGATTACACGAATAATAAAATGCATCGATTTCATATTTAAAATTTTGTGGCAATGTCATTTTTTGAAATGTCATGTTTTGAAGTTTGTAATTCAGTTTAAGTACTTTTTCAACTTGAAACACCTGTGGTCTTGGGATGGTGTATGCATGTTGCATACTCTGCATGACATTTGCGCTTCTAAAAAAGATCGTGTTTTACGTGTGACAACATCGCAAAAGTAGATAAGTAGGGCATTAAAACGATTATGAGACTGAACTTGTAACAAAGGTATAATTT